TCTATTTGTAACTGATTGTTGTGCTTTTTAAATATGGGGTTCCTACTTTCCATTTTGACCTGACAAATTGTAACGAAAACAAAAATGGTACCTGTTGGTAAAGAGAAGTTAAGGCAGTTTCATTAAAGGCACGAGAGATTTGAAAATGTCCAGCGGTGGCGGGCTGTTTGGCAAAAAGGGAAAGAAGTCATTTCATGCAACACAAATGTCCTCTTTTACCAAACCAGGTCATGGGATTCCATGAAGAAGTCATAACTGGACATGAGTCTTGCATGGTTACAGGATTTAATATCAGCATCAGTCTGAGGGCAGCAGTGGTGACTGACCTTTGACCTCCAGGCGGACCTGGTTCTCGGCCTTTCCCAGCATGCTGCTGGCCACACAGGTGTAGGTCCCCCTCGTCCCTCCATTCTGGCCCGTATGATCTCCAGTGTGCCGTGACATAAACACGGTTACTTGCCCGCCATCCAGCCCGCTGCCCTGTCCGTTCTTAAACCTACACACATCAAAACACAGAGTATGAACAAGTACATTCCATAATATAGTAGCACTTGCTCAAATACACATGGTCCTCTAGCGCAGTGTTTTTTGAGCCCCGGTGGATAATGTTTTAACATTAAAGAAATCCCACGGTTCACCAACAAGGAACAAATGACACGCTGTAGCTTAAAACAGCGTATATAAAATGACGATATAATGAAGATTTAATGACAAGGCTTTCAATTTGGCCACAAGTTCAGCTGCTAATAGCTAGCTTAGAGCTCTCTCAGGCACCTTTGTGGTGTTTCTCAGAAATGTTACCTATTTCTCAGTTTGTTTACGAAGGCTAACAAAATAGTCTGTGTTCCAAATCCAAACGAAAGATAACTTTTGCTGTATTGCCTCCAGCTCACCGTTGTTTCTTTATTTTACCACCACTCATACTAGGATCTTCCTCTGGGTTGGATGTTGTCCAGGATCCGGTTCAGTTTTTCCAAATATTCATCCAGCGTGTTCGTCTTCTCAACGCAACCTCTCCCGCACATCACTCAATGCTACTGTTTTAACGGGCTAGCTACTGCCACAGAAGAGTATTTAAGTACTTAGCTAGCTGCTACATTGCAGGCACAGACGCACAACGATGGCAAGTTATTTGCATTTTTGGACCAATTTAGTGAATAGCACAACTTCGGCACACCTGACCATCTCTCACGGCACATCGGTTGGAAATCACTGCTCCAGAGGATGATGACTACACAAATATTTCTGCATCTGAGTAACCAACATGTGGTGAGAGGCTCACCAGCGCAGGTCCGGCAGAGGGGAGCCGAAGAAGGGACAGTCCAGGAAGGTGCGGTTGTTCTGGATGACTTTGATCAGCTGGTTCTTAGGAGCCAGCATCCTCGGAGGCATGTCTGCAGAGAGCACAGCGGATCACACATTTACCAATTCAATTCTTACAATGTCAATGGTTTCGATGCTTTAGCAACATTTTATGTTTCATACAAACTCAATCCCAATATTCTCTTATCCAGCCAAACACTTTGTAGAAAAGCACATACTGTATGTTATTCATAATATAACTAATGTGTGTTTATTGAAGTGTATACTTCTGGAAAATGCAACACAAATGAAAACAAGAGAAGTATAAGTGTAAATATATGGGGAAAAGATTTTCACAAAATGCTATCCAAATGTGATTATTGAAGATATTGTGTCTGGATGCGTATCTGCTTTAGAGATTTCAGGGCTACAGAGAGACCTGTAACTTCAGCGCAGGCTCGTGACTGCTCAGCACCCATTCTGAATGTGTGTCTCACCGAGCACGCTGACGAAGGCGTTGGCCAGCAGGTAGCCATGCTCGTTGGAGGCGTTGCACTGGTACACAGCGCTGCTTCCAATCTGTACCGAGCGGAAGATGAGGGTGTCCCCCTGCACCTGTCTGCTGGGGTTGTGTGGAGAGCCTGAGGGGGGGGGGGGGGCACAGAATGGAGTGTTACAGCCTTACAGAAAGCATTTTAAGATATACAGTAAAGACATATTCTAAACTTGATTTGATGAGTCGTAACTTTGATGGTCCGTGAATAATAAACCTTACAACCTGTTTGTCTTTATCATGCCAAGCCGGTTCCCCTATATCTGGACTACATATCGTCTTTTTGAAAGACGCAGGGCCTCAGGCAAGAACATTTGCAAAAAAAATGTATCTAATTTTTCTGTGAGGCTCGCTAGCAGGGCGCATTTCAGATTAAGCAAACTCTCTTGAAAGTACAAACTTGTTTTAAATTCAAGAGAGCTCCTGTTTGAAATAGGACATTATAGCTTACAGTAGATGATGTTACACTGGCAGGCGTTATATCACACGGTCATACTTGACAGACATCAGTATTAAGACCCTGATAAAGCTGTTGGATAACATCATTTTTCCCAACAACTTCTGACCTGTACTTAAATAAAAATAACTCTGTCAATTGGTAAGCCTCCTATGCTGAGGATATATATAAACACACACTTTTCTGTGAGGAACATTTGTATTGTGTGCTATGGAATAACAATATAATAATATTGAAGAAAGTGGATCACCTAAAGACACTATGTTCGGAGAAACTCCAAGAAAGTAAGTGTGCATAACTATAACATGGGTTACTGAGCCTCATGCCAAGTGGTCAGACCTGGCTGTAACACTGCTTTTAAATATAGACTCACAAATTGATTTTTAACAATTATAAAAGCATAAAATGGAAATCTGTGGAGCAATTTGCAACCTTCAGTTTAATTTGTTATTTTGTAATAAAAAAAACAAGTCTTCATTTGTTTAAAATAATTGCAATGCCAAGTGACCGGTATTATATATTGAATAATATTTATAAGAACAAAGACAGGAGGAATATTTACTGTCTATGGGCTGTCCGTTGATCAGCCACTGGATGTTGGTTTTGGGGTTTCCGTTTGCGCGACACACCAGGCGCCCGTTCTCGTCCGGGGCCAGCACCAGGTTCGTAGGTTTGTCCAGCCAATAAGGAGCCGCTGTGGGACACAGAGAGGCAGATCAGCACGAGGGACTCAAACACATATTTTAATAAACACATAACCTCTGTAGCCTCCTCACCTTTGACCTGGACAAAGATGGAGTGGCGTATGCTGCCTAAATGACTGTTGGCCATGCACACATACTCCCCAGCATCCTCCTCCGACACGTTGATGATCTTCAGGGTCTTGTTGTAGTTCTCAAACTTCGCCCGCCCTGGCAGGTCCCCCCCCTTCTTAAACCACTTGATGGCGGGGGTCGGCCTGTAGGGGAAGGACAGAGGTGAGTTTTTTTTTATGAGAGGGGCACATTCAATGTGGGACAAAGGAGACAAGGCATTGATCAAGAGTACAACACTTTTGGTTCAGTATAAAGTCATGAGGCGCTCAAAACCTCATAAAGTACAATTATTGTTGTTTGTTTAAGTTACAGAAATGATGTCAATTACTTACTGACAATTTGGCCGGCCAAAGTTATAGCACAGTCTATAGCACTGTGTGTGTGTGTGTGTGTGTGTGTGTGTGTGTGTGTGTGTGTGTGTGTGTGTGTGTGTGTGTGTGTGTGTGTGTGTGTGTGTGTGTGCGCGTGTGTGTGTGTGTGTGTGTGTGTGTGTGTGTGTGTGTGTGTGTGTGTGTGTGTGTGTGTGTGTGTGTGTGTGTGTGTGTGTGTGTGTGTGTGTGTGTGTGTGTGTGTGTGTGTGTGTGTGTGTGTGTGTGTGTGAGCTCACAGTCCAGCAGCGATACACTCCAGCAGCAGTTGCTCGTCTCGTAGCACCATCTTGGAGCTCTCACTCCCTGAGGGTGAGAGGAAGGTGGGCGTGGACTCTGCAAGTTTACGGCCTGCAGACAAGGACAGGGTGGGGTTATTACACACACACACACACACACACACACACACACACACACACACACACACCCACACACACACACACCGCAGGTGATCTGTGTACCAAGACTTCTTACAAGGGGCTGCACATCCTCCTCCTACTGAGAAGTTAATCTAACACTATTATTCCCATCATTTCCTCGTGGCTGTGTTCCATCCCTGCCAGGCTCTGGTTCTCCCTGCAGTCTGTTGAGGGGCCAGAGCGGCCTGTAAATGGGTTTAACACCCTCTGGCTTGTCTCACAGGAAGACATTAGGAGATGCAGAAACAACAATGGAGTCATTGATCTTGCTTTAGGTTTGGCGAGGGGACAGAGATGGGAAAGATTGTCATGAAAGGCTCAAACTAATCTCATTACAGCAGAACACTGCAAGTGTTATCAGCTGCTTTATTAAACATCAAACTAAACCGTATTTTAGGTCATGGACTCTAGTTGCCGCTATTAAACAAACTGCTGTTAAACCTCCCTGTAGGGCTTGGCTTAAGCATGTGTAACCTTGCCAAAACCAGAGCAGCCTTTAGAACAGAACCCTGTGTTGTGTGGAGTTGGCTTCTACAGTAGGTTGTGAGGCCTTCAATAATCCACACATAGCGAATGACTGGGGAGGAGGATTGATGATAAAGATCTATTTGAAACCTTTGCTGAATGTACATTTTATTTATACAGTTCTATAGAGAAAGTCTCAGTATTTCCACAGTTGGTTGGAACAAAGTTTTGGACCCAAAACGTTTGAGCCTAAATGAATCAGTCAGTGTGGGGTGTGATCAAACTGCAGAGCGCTGTCTGTGTTTCCAGGACGTATGTGGCATTTGAATCCTGCGTGTATCAGCGTGAACTCAATTTCCTGTTTTATCTACGGTAAAGAATACTGAGTCATTTAAAATGCAAAAGTATTTATGTAAGATGAAAACTTTAAAGGTTTCACTTTGTAAGGCCCATTTTGGAAGTCAAAGTAAAGAGGGTGCAGCTGGAATGGCCATTATAACCCTTAATTGCACAGAAAACTTGAACCAAGTGGGTTTATAAACCGTTATGGAACTGTTTTCCTTACTTTTCTCTTCTACTGTACATGAGTTCTCACCATATCATATGTATGACAGCTAAGATTTATTTCCAATGGGAAAAAAACAAATTGTAATAAAACCTGATCATCCATCAGTCTATGCAGGCTAACTAGTTAACATGGCATGAGTTTAGAGTTACCCTTTGCCATTCAGCTTAATGCCTATACAGGTTAAGGCTGACCCTGTACTACAATCTGACTGTATGCAGCATTATCATTGATATTTGACTCATATTGTTTGGAACTACACCACTGACTGAACATTTACATTCATTTCCAATTGATGTGTTTGATGCCAAGATTGATTTAGCTGGCCCTTTGATCTGTACTACATTCTATATGCACATTTCCAGTCTGATCCAATCACGAGACAGATGCTGTTAACACTGTGGACATACAATCCAATCAGCAGAGAGCTGGAGCTTGCAGAGATGTGTGGGATTAAATTAGCATTAGCCTCTTTTGTGATGCAGATCTATGTGGGATTAAAGCATCTGTTAGCGGTTAGTTTCTCCGGCGGTCGGAAAAGGAGGATCTGTTATGGTCAGTGACACTGTGAGGAGAAGAGGAGTGAACAGAGGGGGACATGAGAAGGAGGTTGAAGGTAAGAAATGCTGATCATCCAGTACACAATCGCTACAGAGTGAGCTACGGCAATGCAGAGAGCACCCTGGAGACATGACATCCTGCTGATGAGGCTGGCAAGGCTTCCCAGGATGCACTGCAGATGTATACCCCCTCCCACTGACAAAAAAGACAGGGTTGTGTTTTTTCTGTGTGTGTTCTTAAGAGATCAGTGATCAAATAGCTAGCGTGTGTGTTTCTGTGTGGGTATGAGCGGGTTTGGGGAGTAATGGATTACATGTAACTGTATTGCATAATCAGGATATTTATGCAATAGGTGGAAACCTGATTTAGCAAACAAAAATACTGTGTGTGCTTTTAACTCATTTGTTTAACAGCATTTGTAAACTATACTATTCTGTAAGCCTCAAATATAAGAGGACACATTTTTGATCCAAATATCTTGGTTTCATCTTTTCCAAAGGCAAATTGTTCTGTTGTCTTAAATAATACACTAAAAAACCTTTTATTGATTTGTCTTTTCTCTTGGATCTATTTGCATTGCATTTGATCTTGAGGACATCCAAAAGTAACGTGAAGTAATCAGGTTACATTACTTACTCAGATTACGTTAATGATTGATTCAGGTAATATAACGGATTACATTTTTAAAGTAACCCTCCCAACCCTGGATATGAGTGGTCGCATGTGAGGATTTAGAAATATGTGAGTCGCGCACACATGAAAGTAGGATGCAGCAAACCTTATTTCCATAAATATATATGACTGGACCCCAGCATGAATCCACACTGAATATTCATCATGTGACCTAAGCCTCGTCGAGTCTTCAGTCCCACTGGGCCTCGGAGCCAGCCCAGTCTATCTCCTCCCTTTGGGACATATCCCATCCACCCCTGGGGTTCACTGCCCCCCTCGTCACCCATACAGCCCCCCCCCCCTGTTCAGAGAAAGGCATATATGTTGCCACTTTGGCTGATCTCTGCCCTCCAGCTATGGGCAGATTCAATAGGTGTATGTCATAATGAATAAACTCCTTCTCTACTGCATGTGCAATACAGTTCAATGATGGATGATTTGCGTGTTAATCACTGTATGTTTATTCATTACATGTGATCATTTAACATTGATTTAAAGGTGGAATTATGGAGTAAACAAGATGAATACATTTTCCACTGTGTGAGTTTATACAGGGGTCAGAGAGGTTAGTCTTTTATTGGAAGTCACATCTGGTCCTGTCCCTCATTCTACACTGCACTGACACATTAACGGATGAAATCTGCTGTTAATCCAACTATGTCCATGCTGAGAGGATGAAATGACTCAACACTTTCTAAAAGTACTAACATTTCAATTCCTGTCACACTGGTTTTAGTAAAGGGACAAATTCAACAATTGTTTTGACTAAATTCAGTTAGCCCAGCTTTCCTGGTCACAATCCTCGGGTCCCCAAAGTGATCTGACAACATTTGATTAGTATGTATCAAGAAATAATTGAAACATGTTCTAATGATGTTGCTCACACGTTGCTCAAAGTGGCAGTATCTCTTGTCTGGGTTATATGATGTGTGTTGGTTGAAAACAGGAAATACTATAACCATTTTTTTGAATGATCTAAATGTGATTTTTGCCCCTACTTAAAACTCATGTAGACTAAAAACATGTAGACAAGGTTTTAAATACTTCATATCCAAAAGTATCAAATATCAGTTGACATCACCCGAGCTCACTTTTCTACATGAAGGTTAGGAGGTTAAATTAGTGCCTAAGGTCAGCGTGAGGTCACCGCTGGAACCCTCACTGAGCTAGCAGGTTAGTGTGCTAGCCATGTTACTGTGGGACATGAATACGGACAGGAAGTAGAGCTGTCCTGACAGGAAGTTACTCACCACCATAGGGGTCAGTGGCATTGTAAGATGTTTCATCATACGGCTCTGCTGAAAACACAGGCACACACACAGAGAACTTGAACACACACATTAACAGATCTGAAGGAGACATCTTTACATGATATCAAGATCACCCAACAGGTCATGGTCTCTAATCTGCAGCAAACTGAGAAAATGGTATGAAAGGTTATGATTGAATGTATTTCATGTCATATCATGACATCACCTCTAGATGGGGATATGTCATCCTTCATTTGGAATAGATTGTGATCTAAACCACACAGCAGGTATTGAGAGAGAAAAGGACCACAGAGTTCATACACTGTTACCTGAGGGGTCACTATATTGAACACATATCAAAGTCAGTATGGATCTGTGTGTTGTATACTTACTTGTCTGAACTTTGAGCGAGAAGGGGTTCTTCTGCTGGATGGTGTGTGTGAAAAGGAAGCGAGCGTTGCAGCTGTAGTCATTGTGAGCGTCTTTGGCCAAAACATTGGAGAAGTACAGGTCTCCATTCAGACCCATGGACACTCTCTTATCCTGAAGGATCGGAGACATCGCTGGAACACAGCAGGGAGCAGAGGGGAAGAGATTCAAGATTCACTGCCATATGCACAGTAGCTACAGTTTAGTTATGGCAAATGTCCCATCTCCCCAACAATGCTACATCAATATATGAGACATAAAACAATAAAACATTTTTAGAGCAAGAAGAGTAGAAATAAAATAGTGCAAGTTTATATTGCTAGACAAGGAAGTAAAAGTAAACTACATACATGTCAAATAAAATACAATAAGCTAAATGTTGCAGAGAATGTTGTATGTGAACACAGCAGTCTATACATGTTAATAGAATAAGATAAACAAGAACATAATGTAACTGCTTATTGTAGTAATAAATACATGTGTGACCTGCAACAGATCAATGCTATGGAGTTATGGAGGAACTTCACAGAGCTCAGGTGTTTAGCAGTCTAATGGCCTGTGGGATGAAGCTGTCCCTGAGTCTGGTGGTTTTAGTCCTGATGCCGCGGTACCGCCTGCCAGACGGCAGCAGACAGAACAGTTTGTGGCTGGAGTGATGAGATGGAGGAAATTAAACTTTGTAAACAAATGAATGTGCACAGTAGCTAATAGAAACTTCCACATTACTGTTACTAGGCAGTACTACATTGAAAGGTATAGGATATATATCTCTATGGTTCCCATCACCCCACTCACCCACACAGAGATAGTGTTTGTGTCTGAAACAAAGCAGAAATCAAATGCTACCATCACCAACTGATCTCATCTTGTATCAAAGGCTAAACATAGCATCCCTTGTAGTGTGTTAGATGCTCATGTTTGTAAATGGCTGTGACTCAGGAGCTAGATGATCGTCCTCCAATCGGAAGATCAGTGGTTCGATCCCCATCAATTACAGTCCAGTTGTCGGCGTGCACTGGTGGCAAGATACTGAGCCCCACATTGCTTCTGTTGGCTTACAGTGTTTGAGTGTGTGTGAGTGTGTGTGACTGTTACTCTGGGCAGGTGGCCCTCCGTATGGCAGCCTCTGCTTCTGTTGGGCGTCTCTGTAAGTCAGCTCTGGTTCCCAGCTGATGTGTCATCCTACAGTTGCTACAGGCACATGTTAACCCCCCACACAGACGTCCAGACAGACCGCCATCAACAGCCATCAACACTGAAACCGCAGCGGCTGACGCCAGCCGTATGGTCGTCAAGACAACGCCTCAGGACCAATCAGCAGCCGGGCCAGCAGTTCTAATCAGGCGTTGGCGTGTTACAGTGTCTGGGCTACATGACACACTGATGTACTGTAGCTCATCTGAGAGTGTGTGTGAGTGTGTGTGAGTGTGTGTGAGTGTGTGAGTGTGTGAGTGTGAGTGTGAGTGTGTGTGTGTGTGTGTGTGTGTGTGTGTGTGTGTGTGTGTGTGTGTGTGTGTGTGTGTGTGTGTGTGTGTGTGTGTGTGTGTGTGTGTGTGTGTGTGTGTGTGTGTGTGTGTGTGATATATAGTGTTTTCACCTGTTAGGTTCACATATTGTAAGGAGCATCTAGTATAGCTGCACTATCTACCTTTTTAACTGCAAAGGGCATGTCTTTGTGTGGTGTAGAGTGGTTTTCTGGCTGGACACAAGGTCTCCAAGCACCCACACAGACGCACACACACTTGGGAGCAGGACAATACAGTGTAAAGGAGCGAGGTGAGGACAGGACGCCAGACCCTGTCTAACTGCTGAGAGAAAGAACCTGAGAGAGCAGGAGGGATACAAGACTAAAGCAAGGCATTCTGCCTAGAGGTCACTGCTGACAAACGGCTTGAAAGGAAGGAAATGAAGCCGTCCTCTAGATCAGTGGTTCTCAAAGTGGGGTCCGCGACCCCCCGGGGGTCCGTGGCACTCTGCCAGGGGGTCCGTGAAAAGTTTTCAGATTCATTAATTTAAATTATCATGATATCATTTTTTTTCATTTTTTTTTTTTTCAACAAATAATCTTTTTTTTTTTTAATCTAAAATATTTCATAGATTACGTTCAAATCTAACAAATAGATACATTTAAAAATCAAGCGTGTTACCGTGGAAACAACAATAACTGTTACGTCAGTCAAAGAGCGCCGCTGCAAGCATCATAGATATATAACACGGCTAGCATACTACGAAGATGGACAGATTTTTAAAACGACCGGTTACGGCTACAAATGAAGTAAATGAAAAACAGACAGGTCCACAGAAAACTACCGGTATGCTTAGTCCTAACTTACTTTAGTTACTGTACTGCAAAAAGCAGACGGCGCTGCGCTCAACACACAGACAGACTCAAAACCATGGACACACTGGCACATAAATTACATAAACAATTGATAGGCCTAAATTGCATAAGCTACAGTATTGCAACTAAGCAGACAGTTTTCTCTCTCTCTCTCTCTCTCTCTCTCTCTCTCTCTCTCTCTCTCTCTCTCTCTCTCTCTCTCTCTCTCTCGGAGCTGGAGCTTGAAAAGCACCAGGTTTTCCTGTTCACACCGCAGCGGAGCAGCCTCTTAGCTCCGGAATCCGGTTCGTTTCAAGCACCAACAAATTGTCCGGCCAGAGCAAAAGCACCGCATACGTCACGCTTACGTCGAGGCGGGGGCAGGGGCAGAGACAGATCAACTCCTGAACAACAACAAAAAGCCCGCGTTGTATCCAGTTTGTACAACGATGGAGAAACTTAACCAGAGTTTCAGTGTTTCTGCCATAGACTGTATATATAAAGGTTTCTGCTCATGGTGAAGCAACGTGTCTGCGTGTTAAGGTGGAACCTGAGCATTCACGTTGATCACCTCTCATTATAACTCATTATAAATCTATAAAACTATAAATATTAAACTTTACTTCACTTGTTCATTTGAGAACAGCTGTTACATACCTGGGTGAAGGTTACAGTTCATTTAAATGAAAGATACAACGTTACTCCACACTCATGGTTCAGTCCACCTTAAGAAATAAGACCGACCTAGGAAGCAGTTGTGTTTTAAAAAAACCTTTATTGACACGAGTACACTTTTTTATAAGAATATAACTAAACCACAGAAATGACTCTGGAAAAGCTGCAGATAGAGCCATAAGAAATTAATGCAACTGATTTCATCCGCAAGATTTGGCTTTATGAAGCAGGCACGCAAACGGTTACGTCATGACGCAAACGATGACGCAACGACGCATTACCAGTCGGACTCTGGGCGGTGTGAAAAGAGCCAGAGCTAAACCGAAGAACTGGTTCTGAACCTAAAAGCTCTAGCACGGAGCTTGAACCGGAGTTGCGTTGGTGTGAATGCTGCTACTCGTATATCTCTCTCTCTCTGACTAGTCTCGCCTCTCTCTCTCTATCGATCTTCTCTCTCTACTATCGCTCTCTCTCTCCCTCTCCTCTCTATCTCTCTCTCTCTCTCGTCTCTCTCTCTCTCTCTCTCTCTCTCTCTCTCTCTCTCTCTCTCTCTCTCTCTCTCTCTCGGAGCTGGAGCTTGAAAAGCACCGGGTTTTCCTGTTCACACCGCAGCGGAGCAGCCTCTTAGCTCCGGAATCCGGTTCGTTTCAAGCACCAAAAAATTGTCCGGCCAGAGCAAAAGCACCGCATACTCTCTGTGTGTGTGTGTGTGTGTGTGTGTGTGAACAAATTGTAATTTAAAACACATTTCCTACATGTCTACACCACCTTGCCCTCTTTGGATTTAATCAAGAAACATTAACCCTGTATAATGTTAACCAAACTGTAAAATTATGTAATATATTATAATATAGTAATATATTACTAAAAACATATTATTGGGAATCGCGAGAAGTTTCAGAGCGACAGAGACACAGAGCGTCCCCGTAACCATGGTAACTCACTCTCACTCCTGCCTGGTGCGCATGGCGCGAGAGGAGAGGGAGAGACGCAGAAGTGAGACTGATTACTTTGAGCAACATGCATGGGAATAAGTTACAATATAATACATTTGTATATATATATCGCTATTCAGATGGTCATGGTGCTGCTGTTGCGCAATGTGCAGAAGTGTCTTCTTTTCGCACCATGACATTATCAGTTATGAATTTGTTTTTCACTGCTTGAGAAAACGGACTTGTGGCTGAGAGCGTGTGAAAAATGTAAATTGTGTGAGAGTTGGCAGCCCTGTGAACTCGCTTGACATTATTATGTATGAAACTGCCAATCAGATTTATTTACTTATTAATCGAAGGTGCCGGAACGCTGTTCTGGATCGTTCCGGCCCACTTTAACCCCTGTGTGTGTGTGTGTGTGTGTGTGTGTGTGTGTGTGTGTGTGTGTGTGTGTGTGTGTGTGTGTGTGTGTGTGTGTGTGTGTGTGTGTGTGTGTGTGTGTGTGTTGTGTGTGTGTGTGTTGTAGAGTTATATTTGTATTTATTCATGTTAGCAAACTATGGATAAGCTTAAAATGAGAATAATTTGGGTAAAACTGTGAGCTGCATTTGGGGCCTGTTGACATGTGTTTTTGAGGACAAAAGAAGATGGGGGAAGGGGAGAGCATGTCCTGATTTGCATTCAACTTAGATCTAGCTGCAGTGTTTGTGAGGTTAAGAGAGGTCTCTTGGGTTTCTCTGGTGCTTATCAATAGTAGCAGTTAAGTGAATACTGTTCAAACAATACCTGTGTTTGTGTTTTATATTGATTTCTCTGTTTTATCCTTTCATAAATGTAAGGACTACAAATGGCTATAAAACATTCTGGGCTGGTTGGAGTAAACAGGGTTTTATGGCTCTGTGGGGGAGGTGTAGGTATGCAGGCCTTGAGACCTTTGGTTGTAAAGTGAGCCTGTTTGGTTTCCTGCTGCGTTGCGTCTCCCAATGAGATGACCTGAAAAGATGACCAGCTGACCTAACACCAAACCCCTCCTTCTTACTCTGGTATATCTCCGGTGGATCCCTGGCGTTCGGCCTCTTCTTCACATGCTGCCCTCGGGTGAAAGTAGCTCTGTAGTATGCGGACTAGAGCAGGAGTAAGCCGGCATTACTCCTTAAGCATTGCAATATAACTGTAATATATCATGTTGTATTGTAATGATTGTATTGCATTGTCATATTGCCATTAAAGTAGATTATTGTTAACGGTTACTTTGTAGCTATGGATTCCTTCCTGTATTATAACCAGCTTCATAGGAACGCGCGGAGATTTGAAAAGCGGACCAGTTATCCCTCCAAATCTCCAACAGTGTGTGTGTGTGTTCTGAAATGCACTTCAAATGATCACTTTTCTCTTGATTTCCCTTTGATATTTTCTTTAGGTACAGTGTTACTTGCAGCTAATTGATTGATTGTTTTATGGGTATTCTGTGTTGAGATGGTGCAAATATTTTTAATACATATCCAATATCTTTTTAATACATTTCTCTTGTGTTGTTCTTTCACATAACTAAGACTATAGAAGTGTAAAAAATAGGCTACGTCAGATTATTCCAAGGGACATACAAGTCAAATCAAGTCCATTTTTATTTATATAGCCCAAAATCACAAATCAGAATGAGGGGGTCCTTGGTGTATTCTCTATCTTGTAAGGGGTCCTTGGCTGAAAAACAATTGAGAACCTCTGCTCTAGATGACCTGATAGACCTCCAGCCTCACATTTTAAAGGGACAAAATGGGGATGCTGATTGAACAGCAAACATGAGTGTTGGAGCTATACATTGATTCATGGGATTTCGTAATCAAACTGTTTTTTGTTTCTATTAAATTAATCATTATTTATTGTAATTATTTTTCTTAGTAAAAGTAATCCTGTATGCTCTTATTTTGAAGGCAGTTATGGGCACTGGGTGAGTTGGGCATGTGGTGATTACGTACATGTTGGACAAACAAAATGCTGTTCATGCCTGGACGTTAGATCATTATTCCCTGCCTGCCTTCCTGTGCCTCAGCGGCAGTTTAAGTTTGAGTTCATTTTCAGTTGTATTTCTTTATGATTTTGCAGCTACAATGAGAGAGATGCAGTCAGACTCTAAGCTAACCCTGTGTTTCATTTTAGGAGGAAGTTATATATTTGAGTAATATGAAAGTTGGATAGGACATAACTCCCTACTATTTCCCTCTTTATATAAAACTAGTAAACAAACAGTTGTCATCTGCAGTTTCATTGCCATACAAATATTGCTCCAATGACACAGTCTATCATAATGATAATACAACTGCACCAATAGTGGTTGACAGAGTCATTTTGACAGGCTATTACAGTGGGGAAGAAAATCATCAGCACACACGCAGAGAAAGACAAATGTCCTGAGTGCATGTGTGTGTGTATTTGTGTGTATTCGTTGCTCACCGCTGTTCATCCAGAAGGTGAACGGAGGAGGCAGGCCTGGTGGGGGGTTGCAGGGTAGAACCAGCGGGGTGCCTTCAGTCACCACCACGGGCTCCAGCACCTCTTTGGGCCACAGAGGAGCCTCTGGAGGACGGGTGGGGGTGGGAGTAGAAGGGGGAGGGAAGGGGAGGAGAATTACAGGTTAGAGAGGGCTTTACTGGTGGTTGGATTTGTGATCAACAGATATTTGACAGCGTGCACAGTCACATTGCATAAGCATTCAATAAAACCTTGTTGTTGCATTGTAACCTCTATAATCTAAATGATAACTGAATAAATTGAAACAAGTTTCTTGGATGATAATACGGACTAAAGATGAGGTCCCATCTCTCAAAGGCTGGCCCAAAATGATATTTGAGTTGGTTCTCCTGGAATATCTTACAACAAAAAGGCCAAATCTGACCAGTTCTATAAATCTGGCAGCCTCACTGTAACCTCCTATGTATGTCCAAAACCGAGCTGTTGGTTGGTATTTTGTTTGTTGGTTTTGCTTATCATGTAACTGCTATGTCATTACTGAATGTGTAAATAAAAATAAATAAAGATATTGTTAATTTTTTAATGTATGCATTATGTCCAAGTCTTTTCAAAGGAAGTGTGTTTGTGTTCTCACTGGAGACGCGCAGCAGGATCTTGTTGGACAGAGCCACTCCCAGGTCGTTGCTGGAGAAACACTGGTACTCCCCCTCATAGTCCTCCGGTCGCCCGCCGCTACGGAAACCGATCTCCAGCGTCCCCGAGCGTTTCCGCATCGTCACCCTGGGATCTTTCCCAATGTTGAAGAACTTCCCGTTCCTTCGCCATGAGAACCTGAGCCAGACAACACATCGAAGTGTAAGCATTAAAACATTGTTATTAAGCACTTTGAGCACCAGGAAAAACGCTTTATAAATAACATGTATTATTATTATTTCTTATTATTGTTGATCCATGGAGTTGAAGTTTGTTCTACCGATGGCCTCTTTATGGAATACTCATTTTTAAATACAGCATTTCTGATGAAAACCCATCAGAATGATTGGCTTATTATTGTCCGCAGTTCTTTTATTCCTTAAGTCAAAGGACAGTTATATAAAAAATCAGATCGAACTCATAGGTGGAACAATGGAAACCAGCCATACCTCATGGAGTTGAGTGCACTTACTGTAAGCAGGGAAATGTTATAAAACACACTCTGCCTGCAACCAAACTCTCACACAAAGATAACTAAACCTTAACATGTTACAGTAGTTTCACAGCAAAGCTCTCCCAGATCAAGGTATCATTTTAATTTGACATACATGCAGTAGTTTTTATTTGTATTGCATCAAATAAGAAGTGGCAGGAATTAAAACGGATTTCAGTTTTAAAAAGAAACAGTAGCAATGTGGTGTGTATGATATGACTGTTATTTTAATAATGGTCATAATGGAATTATACATGAAGAAACACCAGCACGGTTGTTTAAGAGGGGACAATAAGGCCAGAGAAAGTTATCCAGTCCTGAGGTTTACCCTCTGAGCTGTCACCATGCCAACATGGACCCTAAATTGTTTCAACAAGTGCTTTGCTTGTGATGTGGTTGCCATCTTAAGCTACTAAGCTGCAAAACAACAGCAGCACAGAATCTACCACACGCTCTGCATGAGCCACAAATATTCCTGCAGCTTAATCCTGCTGCAGAGGGCTCCCTGATCAGAGAGGAACACTGGACATGCTTATATAACCCCTCACTATTTGGAGTGATGAGCAGGGATTTACAAAAGATGCTTCCTGTCATTTTGGGGGAGTTAGTGGAGCTGCTCCTGTTGGAGGTGCAGCTCACACACACTGGGCCTATTGATGCTTTGGAGACCAGGGCAGTGTGTGTGTGTGTGTGTGTGTGTGTGTGTGTGTGTGTGTGTGTGTGTGTGTGTGTGTGTGTGTGTGTGTGTGTGTGGTGTGTGCGTGCGTGCGTGCGTGCGTGCGTGCGTGCGTGCGTACGTGCGTGCGTGCGTGCGTGCGTGTGTGTGTGGTGTTGTTATTGGCAGGAGTTGTGTAGACTGACTGTGAGTGAATAAGTGAACGATCCCTTACGCTGAATGTTTCATGAGCATGAATAGTCAACCGGGTGCATTATTGGAGCACAAAAGGGGGCAGACAATGTGTGTGTGTGTGTGTGTGTGTGTGTGTGTGTGTGTGTGTGTGTGTGTGTGTGTGTGTGTGTGTGTGTGTGTGTGTGTGTGTGTGTGTGTGTGTGTGTATGTGTGTGTGTGTGTGTGTGTGTGTGTGTGTGTGTGTGTGTGTGTGTGTGTGTGTGTGTGTGTGTGTGTGTGTGTGTGTGTGTGTGTGTGTGTGTGTGTGTGTGTGCAGTGCACGTCTTACATAAAGCCAATCTGTCACCAAATAAACAATGTACCACTGTCCTGGGCCGGTCATACAGCCAGTGATGTAACCACCGGAGACCAAGTGTGTGTTTGTTTGTGAGTGTGTGTGTGTGTGTGTGTGTGTGTGTGTGTGTGTGTGTGTGTGTGTGTGTGTGTGTGTGTGTGTGTGTGTGTGTGTGTGTGTGTGTGTGTGTGTGTGTGTGTGTGTGTGTGTGTGTGTGTGTGTGTATATATGTGATGTGTGTCACAATGTATAGTGTGAGCGTGTAAAATGTGGTTTACATCACTCCAGGTTTTAAAATGTGCCTTTGTATGTGTGAATGCTTGTGGACGACAGGACAACAGAAGAGAGGAGAAGGAGGAAACAGAAACTGTGAATGAGACGGATGAGAGAAAGAGAGAGAGAAGGAGGAAGACTTATCTCCCGCCCATCCTCCAGTTGACTTCTGGAGTAAGACTTCCATTAATGTAACACATCTGTCTCAGATTAGTATATTGTAGAACCATTGCCCCATAAACTTCAGAATTTAGAACTATATTAAAAAGTAATTGATCGAACTGGTAATTCAGAGATCTTTCAGCGAAGACTTCCTGCCAGTGGCGGTTCTAGAACATTTTACATGGGGTGGCAAAGGGGGGGCAAGAGGTCATTCCAGGGTGGCATGGGAGGGCGGGCTGTAGGTGGTATTTTATACTGTATAACCTATTTATTGTTAAATCATGCCCTAACACAAGTGTTCTTAATGCACAAGAGAAACAAGGTGTTCAGACAAACAAACTCAAATATAGTATAAAACAGCAGAAAATAATCATGATACCCTAGAATTCTGTTTACTGTAAGTACAGTAAAAGTACACAAATGACATCACCCATCTCTTAAGAGAGCTAAAGGTGACCTGTGCAGCAACACATTTCAATACATATTTCTCAATATAAGAGCCACTAGATTGTGCTGCTGTAATGGAATATGTATGCAAGGAGAATAAGAACATACCATGTGTTCCAGCTGGAGTCTCCTCTGCCTCCTGATCCCTGCCTCTGGCCCACTTTCTGACACTTCATCTTTATTCCTCACAAACATTTCTTCTTCTTCACTAATGTCTTCATCTCCTGCTCTTCCTCCTGCTCTGACCCTCCTGGTCTCTTCATCTCCTCCTCTTCCTCCTGCTCTGACCCTCCTGGTCTCTTCATCTCCTCCTCTTCCTCCTGCTCTGACCCTCCTGGGCTCTTCATCTCCTCCTCTTCCTCCTGCTCTGAGCCTCCTGGTCTCTTCATCTCCTCCTCTTCCTCCTGCTCTGACCCTCCTGGTCTCTTCAGTGTACTCTCTTTTCCTCTTTCTGTTCATCCTGATCACTTCTCATATGTCTTTTTGTTCTTGTTGAATCACTCCAGCTACTCTGGCCTGCAAGAGTCTACTTGTGAAAAGCACTGGTACAAATGCGTGTATAACTTTACATGTAGCTGATAAGTAGCATATAATAAATATAACATCAGCAAGTATTTATCAAACGCACAGGCAGCTGTGTTCAGTTCCAGTTTGACGGTAAAGGATGTATCCTGGTTTCATTGATCTGGCCTCATTGCTGTGATGTGTCATTTACGTGGATTTAATAGTACCGCATAGTTTAGCAAATAAAGTGATCGATCTCCCAGCTAGTGCTGTCTGCGTAGTATTTTGTAACGTAACGTCCCAAACAGCGACCGTCTGTTAAACGCTATCGAGTCAAACAGCAGCGTTTTATTAATATTTTGTTTCAAGCTCTCGTCCTTATTAAAAACAAAACTAGTGGAAGGGGAAATGCTCCCAGGGGAAGCTGATCCACCTTCAGCTGCTGGGACAGCTCGCTCCCTCTCTGCAGCTGTGTGAGCCACTGTCTGTGTGAACGCCGCTCCGCAGTTTAATGCAGGGCCGTAGCAGCGTTTTTAACGGGCCTAAGATGATATTTAAAATTATTCACTTTTAATTAATGAACTGCTTGTTTCGTTGCTTGAGAAGCTTGTGGACATAGTGTAGGTTTGTTTCTACAAGTTTTAGGGACACAAAAGTTAGGGGAGCAGCTGGGGGGCAAGGCCCCCCCCTTCCCCCCCCGTAGATCCGCCCCTGCTTCCTGCTTTGTTTTGATTGTTTGGTCCTAGTTTATTGTTGGAGCAGCTAACAACAGCAGAGCCCAGTTAGATAGTCGATTAATTCAAAGTTGTGTTCAACTATCTAAAATAAACGTAACATGTGTTTCAACCAGAGATGAATTCAGGACATTCAGCGGTTTTAATTTGCTAGTCTAGAACAGAGCCGGGCTGCGAAGTGTTTATTGGCATAGTTGCTGCTGGGGTAATGTAACTTCTGTGGTCATCATGAAGAAAATAGGTCCTTCAAGTTTTGAGTGACAAACCCTCCTGAATTAACTGTTTTCATTATCAAAATGTGTCCCATTTGGATTAATAACATTTGGGATATCTAGAAGAACTATCAGTGAAATAATTTCATCCAAACAGCCGACAGGAAGTCAGTCAGATGGACCAGAGGAAGGCTGGAGAGGGACTCAAGTGTGTGTTGTCTCTATACTGCTGCAATTATCTTAATATGCACCTACAAAGGCTATAAAGATGTATTCCCAATCCTAATATCCAGATTCACTGTCCATCACAAACTAACTATGCTTTCATTACATTTCCCAACAAATAAGAGAGGAAGCAAATCCAAAGAAAAACAGGCTTTAAAAAGGAAACGGTATTGCAGAAAACAAAGGAAATACATGAAGAGCTGATTGGCTGGAGCAGACAGCCTGTCAGAGTGATGGAAGGGTGGAAGGACAGTATGGGCGGGGGGGGGGGGGGGGGGGGGGCAACGGACCACATGTGAGGTTCAGGCTGCAGAGGGCGGGCAGACAGGTGTCACTCTGAGTTTATAGGACGGTCAGAGCCAGGGCAGGACAGCAGCACTGTATTTATTGTGTGAGGGGGCAGAGTGGAAGAGAAGCACATCTGAGTAGCACTGTCACAGAGCATTACTCTCACTGCTAGAGAGGGGGGGGGCAAGGAGACACCAAGGAGAGACAGAGCAGGGAGACAAAGGGCAGCAGAGGAGAGAGGAGAGAGAGCACAGACAGGAAATGAGCCTCAGCTGCACTGCTGTTTTCCAATTCACCTCCAACTGCGTCTGATTGGTTCAGTCTGCTGTCAATCACTTCCTCAACTTGACATGTGAATTTCATTGTGGGTTACTTTCAAGATTTTCCAAAATGTCTCAGCCTCATTTTATTTCCAGTGAAGTTGTACCTTCTCTTATTGACACAGCGCACTCTGAATAAATGTTCCTGTTTTCTGTAAGTTCTTATTGATTTGACTTAATTATTGATTCATATCTTTAGCTTTTGTAAATCTCTAACCATATCATGTAAACTTTCAAGCTGCAATAACTGTGTTACTACTTTAATATCCCTTTGCCTTCTCTGGATTAAGTCAAAGAACAAACAACAACAACTGGTGCCTTTAAAATAGTAAAGAGAAGGGCGTTTGTCGTGTGGGCAGTGTGTGTGTGTGTGTGTGTGTGCGTGTGTGCATGCGTGCGTGTGTGTGTGTGTGTGTGTGCGTGCGTGCGTGCGTGTGTGTGTGTGTGTGTGTGTGTGTGTGTGTGTGTGTGTGTGTGTGTGTGTGTGTGTGTGTGTGCGTGCGTGCGTGTGTGCGTGCGTGTGTGTGTGCGTGCGTGCGTGTGTGCTGCTGCTTACGTTGGCACTGGGTTGCCCTTGGCCTCACACTCGATGATGATGTTATCTCTGGGGTCGACAATGTAGTCCTTCACTGACTGTTTGACTATGGTGGGGGGCTGCTTCACTGTGGGAGGAGGGACACACACAGACAAGGTTACAGGAATGATGCTGTGCAATTTATAATGCACACACACTCTAACTAACACACACAACAATTCCCACACAAACACACACACTTGCTTCCGTTTCAGGGCACTTAAAATCACGAGGTATCAATAGATACACCAATACACATGAAGCTTACTACAGATCAATACTCTGACATCTTGTGTTAGTAATCAACTCAACAGAGAGACATTACATGTGTTTATCCCCTTGTGTTTTGCTGCTACACTTTATTGAAAGCCACATAAATGAATTTGTAGTTTGAAATGTGTACAGTGGCAACCATAAAAAACATGATATCATTGGTTTAAATATTTCATTTAGTGCAAGCATCATGCAGCCAGTGTACTGAGCATTAGTGGGATCGACTGCTTTGTGAAATGATGGATTTGTATTCATAGTTTAGGTAAGATCAATTTCAGGGTGACTTCTAGACATAGTGTGTCAGATAATGTGGATACCATCTATGTTTCTTGATCTGTAGGACATTTTTCTTTTAGTGATGTCAGCTTATTGAGGTGATCTCAGCAAATGGTGTTCTTATAACTAATACAATAAGTGATAAGAACAGCTCAAATATAACTCAAGTTGCAATGAATCATTCTGAAATCCTTTAATATATATATATATATATATATATATATATATATATATATATATATATATATATATATTATAGGATTTCAGAATGATTTTGCTGGTGTTATTTATTTTTATTTTGTTGCCAAATAAAAGGAAATAAAAAACGTGTTGCAGTGTGGATCATTGATCTTAACATATATCAGTCTTTAATACTCACAATACTTTTTATTTTCATGGAATTTGTTGTATTGTTTGTACATCTGTTTTATATTCTGAATAAAGAAATACATAGATCATAGTTTCCACCTCCCCTGCTGTGTTCAGTCTACTAGACATATGTAATGGCTCATCTAACCCATACCACACAAACACACACACACACATCTTTCTGCCCTTATGCAGGCTCCCACACTGTACACAAGTACACACAGACTCACACAGACTGTACACACAGACTGTACACACAGACTCACACAGACTGTACACACAGACTCACACAGACTGTACACACAGACTGTACACATAGACCGTACACACATACTGTACACACAGACTGAACACACAGACTCACACAGATTGTACACGCAGACTGTACACACAGATTGTACAGATTGTACACACAGACTGAACACACAGACTCACACAGACTCACACAGATTGTACACGCAGACTGTACACACAGATTGTACACACAGACTCACACAGACTCATACAGACTGAACACACAGACTCACACAGACTGAACACACAGACTCACACAGACTCACACAGACTGTACACACAGACTCACACAGACTCACACAGATTGTACACACAGACTGAACACACAGACTCGCACAGACTGTACACAGACTGTACACACAGACTGTACACACAGACTCACACAGACTCACACAGACTGTACACACAGACTGTACACACAGACTCACACAGACTCACACAGATTGTACACACAGACTGTACACACAGACTGTACACACAGACTCACACAGACTCACACAGATTGTACACACAGACTGAACACACAGACTGAACACACAGACTGAACACACAGACTGAACACACAGCCTGAACACACAGACTGTACACACAGACTGTACACACAGACTGAACACACAGACTGAACACACAGACTGAACACACAGACTGAACACACAGCCTGAACACACAGACTGTACACACAGACTGTACACACAGACTGAACACACAGACTGTACACACAGACTGTACACACAGACTGAACACACAGCCTGAACACACAGCCTGAACACACAGACTGTACACACAGACTGTACACACAGACTGTACACACAGACTGAACACACAGACTGTACACACAGACTGAACACACAGACTGAACACACAGACTGAACACACAGACTGTACACACAGACTGTACACACAGACTGAACACACAGACTGAACACACAGACTGTACACACAGACTGTACACACAGACTGAACACACAGACTGTACACACAGACTGAACACACAGACTGTACACACAGACTGAACACACAGACTGTACAGACAGACTGAACACACAGACTGAACACACAGACTGTACACACAGACTGTACACACAGACTGAACACACAGACTGAACACACAGACTGTACACACAGACTGAACACACAGACTGAACACACAGACTGTACACACAGACTGAACACACAGACTGTACACACAGACTGAACACACAGACTGTACACACAGACTGAACACACAGACTGTACACACAGACTCTACACACAGACTCACACAGACTGTACACACAGACTGTACACACAGACTGTACAGACAGACTGAACACACAGCCTGAACACACAGACTGAACACACAGACTGTACACACAGACTGTACACACAGACTGAACACACAGACTGAACACACAGACTGAACACACAGACTGAACACACAGACTGAACACACAGACTGTACACACAGACTGTACACACAGACTGTACACACAGACTGAACACACAGACTGTACAGACAGACTGAACACACAGCCTGAACACACAGACTGTACACACAGACTCACACAGACTGTACACACAGACTGTACACACAGACTGAACACACAGACTGTACAGACAGACTGAACACACAGCCTGAACACACAGACTGAACACACAGACTGTACACACAGACTGAACACACAGACTGAACACACAGACTGAACACACAGACTGAACACACAGACTGAACACACAGACTGTACACACAGACTGTACACACAGACTGAACACACAGACTGAACACACAGCCTGAACACACAGACTGTACACACAGACTCACACAGACTGTACACACAGACTGTACACACAGACTGAACACACAGACTGAACACACAGACTGTACACACAGACTGAACACACAGACTGTACACACAGACTGTACACACAGACTGTACACACAGACTGAACACACAGACTGAACACACAGACTGAACACACAGACTGTACACACAGACTGAACACACAGACTGAACACACAGACTGAACACACAGACTGTACACACAGACTGTACACACAGACTGAACACACAGACTGTAACACACAGACTGTACACACAGACTGTAACACACAGACTGAACACACAGACTGTACACACAGACTGTACACACAGACTCACACAGACTGTACACACAGACTGTACACACAGACTGAACACACAGACTGTACAGACAGACTGAACACACAGACTGAACACACAGACTGTACACACAGACTGAACACACAGACTGAACACACAGACTGTACAGACAGACTGAACACACAGACTGTACACACAGACTGAACACACAGACTGTACACACAGACTCACACAGACTGTACACACAGACTGTACACACAGACTCACACAAACTGTACACACAGACTGTACACACATACTCACACAAACTGTACACACAGACAGAACACACAGACTGAACACACAGACTGAACACACAGACTCACACAGACTGTACACACAGACTGAACACACAGACTGTACACACAGACTGTACACACAGACTGAACACACAGACTGTACACACAGACTGTACACACAGACTGTACACACAGACTCACACAGACTGTACACACAGACTGTACACACAGACTGTACACACATACTGTACACACAGACTGTACACACAGACTGAACACACAGACTGAACACACAGACTGTACACACAGACTGAACACACAGACTGTACACACAGACTCACACAAACTGTACACACAGACTGTACACACAGACTCACACAAACTGTACACACAGACTGTACACACAGACTCACACAGACTGTACACACATACTCACACAGACTGTACACACAGACTCACACAAACTGTACACACAGACTGTACACACAGACTCACACAAACTGTACACACAGACTGTACACACAGGCTGTACACACAGCCGGGGTACCAGGCCCTTCAGAGGGTTGCAGCATTAGAGGAGGCCGCTCTGTAAGACTGATTCTGTCCAACAGAACACTTTCCTCTGTAAGTGAAGCTATTGCAGCTAATCTCATGCCCAACTGAGAAAAGGACAGCATTATACATATCTCTCTCGTTGCTATGGCAACCATAAGTAACCCAGAGTATTTTTATACTATGCTTGGTTGTGATAAAAGCCAGGCTATGAGACATAATTGGTATGGAAATTACTCCTCAGCATGTCAGCTTATAACACATCCTCCATGACGTTCTTTACACCAGCTCTGAGCTCTGAATGCTATATTGCTACAAACTGTATAATGCTTATAAGGCTGTTATTCCTCTGTGTGTTTCCAAGCAAGATAAATTACTGTTCCTTACGACCAATGATTTGTTGGGTTATTTCAATCTATTATTCATTCTTACCTATCAACCAATGTTTGGGATTTGGGCTCCTCTTTTTAAATCATAGACACTAACGGTGTACCCTAAAATATACTGTATTCATCTCTGTGGAGCAGGAGGAAAAATAAACAGTAAGTAGTAAGGTGTGTAATTAAGCTCTTAGTTATGATATGAGTCGGTGGCACAGAAACATTAGCAGTGATGTTAAAAAGAAACACTTACGCTCCTGAAGGATCTTTGCTGTTAGTCCAATGTAAAGCCCAAGAGAGACGGGGAGAAGCATGGGCACATTGTAATGTGAATGTTAATCATACTAGACAGATATAAACATTAATAGTACTATGTACACTCAATTGTGTTATGTTCAGATCAGTGGTTCCCAACTGGTGACTGACAGAGCAGCGCTTTCATTCCAGTTTCTGTTTTCCCAGACGGGAGCTGTCTAACTTTATGCAATGATACAGTACAACTGGTCACAAGTATGACACAGTATTCATTTGTTTAACTTACACTGCACACAAAAGGAACAAAAAAAGTCATCCAGTGAAGAAGTGTCATGGGTTAAATCCGTCAGATGTATTTTCTCCTCTTTATAGCTAGCAGCATTGCAGCTGTATTGCCCCGTCCCTTTTATCAGACCTATTTATGTTGTATTGTAAAAATAGATTGAGGAATCTGAAGTTGTTTTAGTTTCATTTCGTGAAATTGTAACACAACAGTTAGCTTTGAATGGATGGAAACAAACTGAATATTCAGCTGGCCCGCTGTAGGAGCGGTGACCTGAACATGTTTCAAGAGATTCCTTCAAACCCTGAGGCAGAACCAGTTGAGAAGCACTGTCATAGTTTACAGTTTGCTCTGTGTCAAACAAACGAGTAGAAACTAGAAACTAGTTGTTATGAAATGAGAGAGAGAACTGTGATTTATAGAGTGAAACACAGAAAGGATGGCTGGACTCACCTGTGAGGAGTTCCCGTGTCAGCAGAGGGTGAGCAGTAAGGAGGACAAAGAAAACACACATATACGTTAGCTTGTTTTTAATACTGTAACACTGTGTGTTTCAATAGCTCATCATTTATTTGTAACAAAAATTACAAAATAAAAATTGTATTTAAAGCTATACTTGGCTACTTTACATAGGTGTTTGCAGGCAATATTATATAATATAATAGACTCTTTAAATGTAATGTAACACGTATTTAAGCAATATATCACCTAATGAACATGGTAATAATAAGTAAAAGAACATTTGAACATGTATTTAATATGCACCTGTGCCAGTGTACCTGTAAATGTGACACAGTAATGTGGACCTCCCACTGCTAGATTTAAGCTTCTATTCATTACGTTGGGCTTTCCCTACATGAAAGGTATATTTGATCCAGTTAATAAAGAGGACTGTTTGTCAGCCACAGCACAACTCCACAGACCTTTTACTGAATGTTAATAGTATTGATTTTTTGCCATTTAGGTGTTATGTTATGTTAAAATGGAATGTGTGTGTGTGTGTGTGTGTGTGTGTGTGTGTGTGTGTGTGTGTGTGTGTGTGTGTGTGTGTGTGTGTGTGTGTGTGTGTGTGTGTGTGTGTGTGTGTGTGTGTGTGTGTGTGTCTGTGTGTGTGTGTGTGTGTGTGTGTGTGTGTGTGTGTGTGTGTGTGTGTGTGTGTGTGTGTGTGTGTGTGTGTGTGTGTGTGTGTGTGTGTGTGTGTGTGTGTGTGTGTGTGTGCTGTGTGTGCGTGTGATTCCTGTAGGCATGTGTGGAAAGCACTCATCAATAAAGGTCAAGAGTGCAGTTTGCTGTGAAGTAGATAAGGACAAAGGAGGGGGGATGGGTCTTCAGCCGTAGGCTCCGTTTACACGGAAACAAAAATGAACAGAATTCGATATCAAAAAAGGCTTCCGTCCACACGCAATCGTCTCAGTAAACGTGTCCGTCCACACGAGACCGCTCGGCCTGCTGGAAACGCTGTAGTACATATGCCGGGCCTGTAAGTGGCGCTGTACTTCTGCCACAAAATACACCAAAAGCAGCGAAGAAGACTTCCCGAGCATGGTTGCCTGGTTGCCCTTCTGTTTATTCTCCGCGGAGGATTTAGCAACATGTAGTTCACGTAGTTCTCCATGTCCACTTGTTGCTGATGGTTGTGGTAGAGGAGCTGTAGATTTGGGTGAGCAGCAGAGGAGGGGAGAGGCAGGGCTCTGGTTGTTTCGGCGGCCTCTGTTTATCTTTTTCTCCCTCCCCGAGGTGAGCTTGTGCTCCTGCTGTACAAGGCAGGTGCACCACACCCACTGCCACTAACTCTGAGCCTGGCTCCCGAGCAGGACGTTCTCCCCGGTAGTCCACCAGCAGATGAAAAACACCCACCTCTCCGCCTATTCCAAGGGACGAGGGAACCGTGCGGCAGAGTTTCCGTTATAATTTGTTTTCGCCGGTCAACATGTCCGTTAAAGTTTAAATCTTCCGGACAAAATTAGAAAAGTGCCGGTCAAAGGTCTTCTTTGTTATTTATTGAACTTTAAAACAAATGAATAACGACTCGATATAATAATATAAGAATAATACACGGAGCCTCTCTTTTCCTCCCCTTCTCCTGACAGCCCGTCAGTATCCGTGGTCTCATGCAGCTGGCTGATCCAGTAATGAGTGACCCGACAGTCAAAATAAACATATTTATAACTAGTTTAGGTAGTTTGAGAGGTAATTAAAATAGCTAAGTGTGATGATGTAACTTGAAGTGTGTGTTTTGTTCCGCTCACCGCTCCATCACAGGGGGCGGAGCTGCAGGTGATCATGCAGAGCTGCGTGTCTCCGTCAGCAGCAGCTGATCTCTGATCTCTCTCTCCTGTCCGATTAGACTTCACTCGCGTTTATGTCCATATCGATCAGATCTAGCTAGTTCTATCTAATGATATGAATGCCTGCGTGTCAAAGGACACCTAAACAATAAGCGACATTTTGACCGGAGAGATTTAGATTTGCCGGTCTTCAGCATATTTTACCCGTCATAGTCCGGTAATTACCGGGTAACGGAAACTCTGCCGTGCGGGGGGGTCTGCTGGAGGCTCCTGCTGGGTGCACTGTCCAGCGAGATACCGGGACTTGGCTCGGAACACTGTTGTTGTTGTTGTTGGCGAAACACATCAGCAATGACGGTGAGCAGGAGAGGTAGGTAGAGGCGGGGCTATGGCGTCTCGGGCGTACACATGGAGCCGTTTGACCCCCCAAAGCGTTCCGTCCGCAGATCTACCCACCTTGGGGCCCGTTATCGTTTGAGGGCTCCACGGTTCCGTTACGGCCTTGTGTGAACGAACCGTCCATACGATATAGAACTGTAGTGGATAACACCCGTTCCGTCTCCGTGTAAACGGGGCCTAAGTTAGCTCTGACAAAGAGCTTCAGTGGAAGAGTCATTAGAGGTTCATCAGGAAAATTGATCACTACCATCTGATCAGTATATCTAAAAGGCTTTATATGTACATTTCATGTCTAATGGTGCCATTAAGAGAGCCATATAAACATTGTTTTTGCAGCTGTGTGACGTATAGCAACTGCTACTAAAATGCCATACGCTAAGTCATATTCCATGCATGTGTAAACATAATTGTCCTGATTCACAACACGCAATGCTTATTTATTGTCATCCTCAAAATTGGATTTGTAGTCCCTTTCTGTTACATAAGAACCAACAAACCACCATGTGTGTGTTTAATACAGAGGATGAGGATAGTCTAACTCTAGTTGTATGAGAAAAATAGTAATATATACTGCCACACCAAATGAACAGCTAGATCAGTGATTCTCAAATGGGGGTACGCGGACCCCTAGGGGTACGTTGGGGTACTGCAGGGGGTACGTGAGATAAAAAAATTTAAAAAAACAAAGTTAATTAAAAAAATACCATGCATGATTACAAAAATAATCTCCGTACAATAAATTAAATAGAAAACACAATTTTATATAAAAATATTCCTAGAACCTCATAAACATGTCAAATTGGTGTATTGTATTTTATAGTTTTGCATAATATATCATTTTGTTCATTGGTTTGTTAAACAGATATTACTTCAGTTGAAAAACTCCTTTGAAAAATCAGGTTTTTTTTCTTTTTTCATGCATAAAATGAAAATATCCTTAGTTTGTTGTAAAGGAATTAATAAATCACACACTGAAGGAACATCACTATATTGGAATTATTTGTATAGGCTTTTTCGATCAAACATTTTCGGGGTCGGTCAGGGGGCTGAGAAAATGTTTCAAAGGGGGTACATGACTGAAAAAAGTTTGAGAAGCACTGAGCTAGATTTCCAACATCTCTTGCAAGACCTCATCCATCCTGAATATTTGCTCTTTATATTTTTATAATATTTATTCACATGACACACATCAAGGTCATGCAGCAAACATTAACTACTGTATATGGTTCTGTGTATCAAACTGAACCTTATGTTAAATCGATCTAGAAGTCAATGACTTTTTGACTTTTTTTGTCAGAAATAAATGATGTGTGTGTGTGAGTGTGTGTGTGTGTGTGTGTGTGTGTGAGTGTGTGTGTGTGTGTGTGTGTGTGTGTGTGTGTGTGTGTGTGTGTGTGTGTGTGTGTGTGTGTGTGTGTGTGTGTATGTGTGTGTGTGTGTGTGTGTGTGTGTGTGTGTGTGTGTGTGTGTGTGTGTGTGTGTGTGTGTGTGTGTGTGTGTGTGTGTGTGTGTGTGTGAGAGTATTTCTATGTGATATATAATAATGTGAGAACCAATGAATATCTATCATCTTTACATTTATAGTGAGCGAGTTACCTATCACTATAGTAACCCTAAACCTTTCTCAAACTGCACGGGTTAGTCGTGCAGTTATAAAAGTTAAAACATTGAACCGTTGACTTTAATTAAATGTTGAACCACATTTTTTAAATACATTTAATTAAAGTCATTGTTCAGTTGTTTTCAGTGTGGCTAAATTGAGTGTGCCTGGTTTAGAAGTGACATATTAGCATTACAGACAATGATGCAGCTTTTCATTTCACATGGTGTTGGATTCATAACAATCAAAGTCGTCTAGCTGTACACTGACAGAACAAATCCACAGAATGAAGATACATTCATCAGTTGGCCTTTTCAAAATAAAGGTCGGATAAATCAAAAATAGAAATAGCCACAAGCAGTGTAAATCTGGGCATTATGTTACTGTCTGGTGTGGTTGTCTGAGAGACACTGAGTGCACCATGTTAGACTGAAAAAACGGAAACG